AGAGAGAGAGAGAGAGAGAGAGAGAGAGAGAGAGAGAGAGAGAGGGAGAGAGAGAGAGAAGAGAGAGCGGCTGAAGTATCATGGTACAGCATGTGACCTTTAAGGTGACTTTGAGCCTGGAATCCTGGAATCTCAGGAGCTGTCCCTGGTCGGAGTAGCTTGTGGTTCAGCCCTCAGAAATCGGGCTTCCAGCTCTCGTCCCACAGTGCCTCAGGCACCTGTTGGTATGTGTGTGCAGGCTGACAACTGGTGCTCTGCCTCCTCTGCTGATCCAGGTGGATCCCTCCTGGTGCTTTCCTACACCCTTCTAGACCACCCCAGGATGGGCGTGAGACTGGGGGCTCTTCTCATCTTTTTATTTTTTTGTTGTTGCTGTTTGGTACCAGGGGTCAAACTGGGGACCTTGCACTTGTGCTTGTGAGGAAGGTGGCGCAACCACTGAGCCAAATCCCCGGCCCTCATCTGTCTGTTTCTGCAGTTCTCCCTGGTAAGTTTCTGGGTGCTCTGCTGTTTTGCTGGTCACCATTCATGGAGCCTGAGTGTCCCCACAAGCACCATTGTTTCAGAGGTCACAGATATGGAGCCGTCCATGCTCTGTCCAAACAGGCCAGTCCCTTGCACAGAGCCAGGGGCGTTCTCAGAACTCCCACAGCACTGCACAGGTGCCAGCGGGAGGACTGCAGCCCCTCCTGGAGTGACGCCTGTGACGAAGGCAGACAGTGGGGAGAGAAGAAGTGGCAGGGAGGAGACAGCAGCCTCTGGGGAAGGGGCACAGGGAGTCAGGGGTACTGGGCCAGATGTTGCTGGAGTTGAAATTCCACTAGGAGTGGGAGTGAGGTCAAGGATGGAAATCATATTTGTCTCTGCCACTTCCATGAGGAGGACTTTCACGTCCTAAGAGTGGGGAAGGCGTGCAATGTGGTTGCTGGACCAGTAGAAGCCACAGCACTACATCGAGGGCTATGGGTGGCCACATCCACCCGGGGCAGAGAACCCTGAGTTGCGTCCACCACACGGGGCTCCAGTGGGGCAGAGGGGGAGAATGGTGGCTCATACCCCAGATTCCTGCTGGTCTTGCTGAAACTTGGTGGATTTCCCATACAGAACTTTTTTCACCACTTGCCTTGTGCCCTCAAGACAATTACGGAAAGTGTTGAATGATACTTTAAAATTTTTTTCCTAATAGTTGTTTTGTTAGGAAGCAGAGATGATACACATAAACACCCTGCCATTTTGAAAACCTCAACCCACATAGTTTTTAAAGGTTTCAAGGAGTTCCCCATGATTTCCTCATCCAGAGGAACCACTTGGCGGTTAAAGAGCATAACGAGAAGTCAATTTATAATTGTCTGGTCATGATCATCCCAGGCTGCCATTCATGATTTCATAACTCCAAAAGAATTACTAACACTCAAAAGCTACTGAAACACAGCCAAGAAATTCAATAAATAATAAGTACAATAAATACAGAGAAACACACCCAGATATGTCATAATCCTGATGCTGAAAGCCTAAGTTAGAAAGAAAATCTTGAAAGAAGCAAAAGAAAAGCATCTTGCTACATACAAGGGACATTTAATAAGAGTAATAGCTGGCACTTCTTAAAATAATAGAGGCCGGCAGTCAGTGGGATCATATATTTGAACTGCCAAAAGAATACATATTATCAAACAAGCACCTTTGATATCCTGTATCTTTCAAGCATGAAGGCAAAATAAAGTTATTGGCAGATAAACAAATTTTGATATAATCTATTACTGGCAGATCCACCTTCCAAGAAATGCCAAGTTCTTTAGGCCAGAAGCAAGTGACCCCAGGCAGTCATTCAAATGCAGAGAGCGGGCAGCCTGAAAGAAGACAGACAGAAACGGAAGGCTGGACACCATAAGCAAAATGGCCCCACACTCCCTGACACCCCTGGGCAGAGCAGAGCACCCTGGCTCCCCACTGCACAAACAGCAAGGAATTTGCCCTAAAATGAGCCTAAAAAGACAGCATTTATACAAAATGGGACTTTGTGATCATCGTGGAGTCACCATAGAGATTAAAACATAAAATTCACAAGTAGGCAAAAATCAAATGATATACTTAAATAGCTCATGGGCCAAAGAAAAAAATCACAAGGTAAATTAGAAAATGCTGTAAGATGAGTGGAAATACAACTCACGATACACCAGCACTTATGGGAGGCACTGAAGCGGGCAGGAGGCTGGTCAGGCCTGGCTCTGGGCATCTCCTGGGTTGTGGGGTGGGTTCCAGGCTGGCCCAGTTGAGGTAGAACAGCTCTAGCTCTGAATTATGGATCCTCTAATGAGTCAAGATCATTGCTGTGAACCTGTGGCTGAGCTCTCCGAGGAAGAGAAATGTGACCACAAGCTCAAGAAGATCCAGGCCTGGGAAGCTGAAAAGGAGGAAGCAGCTTGAGAGGCAACCAGGAAAGCCCTGCTGCAACCCCACACCACCTTCCACCAAGCTGTTGTTATCCAGGTACCCACGCTCAAGGGTGGGCTTCTACCAACCCCCTGTGCCCTATCTGACCAGCATCACCACTTCCTGGGCATGGTGTGCATGGTCACTGAGCACCACAGGAGGAAGCACCAACGGAAGCGGATGCCAGGGCAGCCATCACACAGGTGGATGGATTTCTCACAACCAGGACCGACAGCAAGAGGAGGCAGGATGTGCTCAAGACGACCAGGGCCAACTGCACCCTGGGCCACAGCTGCTGGTGGTAGAGGGAAAAGAGAGGCTCTGGAGAAGCTCCAGGCCCTGTGCTGCAAGAGCCACATGAGTCACTGCCCACGTGGCTAAGGACATGGCTACCTTTGGTTTACTGCCTGCAAAGCCTTTCTCCCGTGGATCCAGAGCTGGCTCTCCCCACCCCATCTCTCTGTAAAGAGGGAGCACATCGATTTGGGAATTTCATCCCAGAAACCCAGGACCAGTCTTCTCTTCCCTCCACTCAGAACAGACCTTTGGATGTGAAATGAAGATTTATTAGAAAATCCTCATCTTCATCTGGTTTAGATATAAACTACCATTCATTAAAACTTCCTGGAGAAAATAAAAACTTATGAGATACTGTTA